AGTTTAACCTTGCCTTTTTATTATTATTATTATTATTATTATTATTATTATTATTATTATTATTATTATTATTATTATTATCATTCATCGCACAGTCAGCCAGATGTTCAGCCTGGATTTGGCATTTTGTCTACCTATCGAGTCCTTACCCAGGACCTGGGATAGGCAGATGTGGATGTTTGATGGTATTACAGGTATCGTCGCAGGATGGAAGCAGTTCCTAATAAGGCCGCCTTTTGCAATTGACTAATAGCAAATTTGTCAATGCCAATGGTGTTCAAGTGGTGCTCCAGTTGTTTTGGGATTGCGCCCAAGGAGCCTATGACTATTGGTACTACCCTTGCTTGCTTTTGCCACAGTCTTTCTATTTCTATTTGTAGGTCTTTGTATTTTGTTATCTTCTCCAGTTCTTTCTCTTCTATTCTGCTATCTCCAGGCACTGCCACGTCCACTATCCAGACTTTTTTGTCTTTCTTATCGACAATTGTTAAGTCTGGGGTGTTATGTTGCAGGTGCTTGTCTGTTTGAATTCTGAAGTCCCAGAGCAGTTTAATTTTATCATTTTCTATGACTTTCTCTATTTTATGATCCCACCAGTTTTTGCTTACAGGCAAATGATATTTTTTGCAGATCTTCCAATGCACCATTGTTGCTACTTTGTCATGCCGCTGCTTGTAATCAGTCTGTGCAATCTTCTTGCAACAGCTTACCAAGTGGTCCACTGTTTCTTCAGCTTCTTTGCATAGGCGGCACTTACTGTCTGTTGCTGTCTTCTCAATTTTGACTTTGTATGCATTTGTCCTTAAGGCTTGGTCTTGTGCAGCCAGAATTAGTCCCTCGGTCTCTTTCTTCAATTTTCCTGCTCTTAGCCATTGCCAGGTTTTATTATTATCTGCTTTCCCAGCTATTTTTTTCATGTATTGGCCATGTAGTGCTTTGTCTTCCCATGCCTCTATTCTGTTCTTCATTTGGTCTTTCTTGTAGGCCAGTTTGGTCTCTCCAGTAGTTAGTAAGCCTTCCTGATATACTAATTTCAGTGCATCTTCATCATTGTTCTTCAGATATTCTTCCAAAGCCATTTTTTCTTCTTCAACCATCTGATGTACTTGTAGCATTCCACGCCCACCTATTTGCCTTGGTAGATAAAGTCTATCAATGTCACTGCGTGGATGAAGGGCGTGATTCATTGTCATTATTTTTCTGGTCTGCCTATCCATTGCTTTTAGTTCTGCTTGAGTCCAGTCCACTATTCCAGCTGTGTACCTAATGACTGGGATTGCCCAGGTGTTGATTGCCTTTATGGTATTTCCTCCATTGAGTTTGGACTTTAAGATCTTCTTCACTCTCTTGATGTATTCACCTCTAATCTTTTTCTTGACTTCAGTGTGCTTGATGTTGTCAGCTTGAAGGATACCCAAGTATTTGTAGTACTCTTCCTCATCCAGACTCTTAATGTTATTTTCGTGGGGCATCTTGATTCCTTCAGTTTTCACTATTTTTCCTTGTTTGATAGTAAGTGTGGCACATTTGTCCAAGCCAAACTCCATTACAATATCTTGGCTATATATACGGACAGTGTTGAGCAGCGATTCTATTTCAGATGATGTTTTTCCATACAGCTTCAGATCATCCATGTAAAGGAGGTGGGATAGTCTAGCAGATGTTTTTGATGTTTGATAACCATGTCCTGAGTTATTCAGTATTGTTGACAGAGGAAACAGTGCAATAACAAATAGTAATGGTGATAATGAATCTCCTTGAAATATTCCTCTCTTGATATTAACCTCTCCCAGCTCTCACCATTGATCTGCAACTGTGTCTTCCATTGTGCCATCGATCTTTGCACAAATTTTCTGATGTTTCTACTGACTCCTGTTATTTCTAGGCACTTGATTATCCAATCATGTGGCAGAGAGTCAAATGCCTTTTTGTAGTCAATCCATGCCACATTCAGGTTGGTCTTCCTTCTCTTGCAGTTTTCCAAGATCATTTTGTCTATTAGGAGTTGATCTTTTGTTCCTCTGCTATTGGGGCGGTTTCCTTTCTGCTCAGGTGGAAAGAGATTGTTTTCAACTAGATGCTGTTGTACTGCATCAGCTACCACACCAGTTAGTAATTTGAATGTTGTTGGTAAGCAGGTAATTGGCCTGTAGTTACCTGGTGTTGCCCCTTTTGCTGGATTTTTCATTATTAGGTAGGTTTTCCCAGTTGTTAGCCACTTTTCAATTTCTCCTCCTTGTAGTATATTGTTGAACTGCTTGGCAATGAGTGGGTGTATAACAGTTAGATGTTTCAACCAAAACCCATGCAGTTCATCTTCACCTGGTGCTGACCAATTTTTGATTTTCTTTGCTCTTTTTTCTACCATTTTTGTTGTTATTACTAGTTCTTTCATTTCAACTTCTGTTTTATTTGCATCCACCTCTTTTAACCAAGCTGCATCCTTGTTGTATTTCTTTGGGTTATCCCATATCTGCTTCCAGAATTGCACTGTTTCTTCCTTGTCAGGTACTGACTGATTCCTTGCAGTTTCTCCATTGATGGATTGGTAGAAACGTTTCTGATTGGATTGAAATTGGAGGTTCTGCCTATAGTTTGCAATTCGAGCTTCATATCTACTGATTTTCCTGGCTATAGCTGTTATTTGTTGCTTTATTATTTCCAGTGCTTCCTTGATCTTCCTTGTTTCTAAGTGGTATTTCTTGATTAGGTATTCTTTGGTCTTCTTGTTCTTCAGCTTCTTTTCTTTCATCTGTTCTAGCTTGCTTGCATGTGATCTTAACTTGCTGATCTTATTTTCTAGTCTAACCTTCCATTTTTGTGGTGCACTGTTTGTTTGTTTTTCTTTTTTGTTGATTTTGCATCCCAGGTATTCTGTTATAACTGCAGCTGTGCTGTACATTAGTTGGTTTGTTTCTTGCAGTGAATTGGTGCTTATACTTGCTATTGCAGTATTTGCATCTTTTAATGCTTGTGCTAGCTGTTTCTTTGGAACAAGCTTCAATGCAGGCAGCCTTATTCTGTTGTTTTTGTGCTGTTCTAGATGCTCAATTATTCTTTGTTTCAATTCTTTTATTTCTTTAGTTAGAGGGTTTTGTTCTTCCTGAGGAAGAGGTGCCTGGTTTCCAAATGAGAACAGTATATCTCTGCTGGATTCCTTCACTGCCAACTCCCCCTGGTTTGCCTCTACATTCTGAATTACTTCTGGTAAGGCTTTGATTTCTTTGCCCTGGGTAAACCTTTGCAGTTCGTCCAATTCTGTTTCTGTGAATACTTTATTTCGTGTTATAAATCGGCGTTGATCTGCTAGTCTCTGTTCTGTTATTTCTGATTCTGGATGTTGTTCTTTCCAGAATTGGTGCATTCGTTTTAGATATCCTCGTCTTGTTGGACTTGATCTGTAGTAACAGATCATTATTTCTTTGTTTTCCATCACTGTGTATCTGCGACGGGTAAACACCTTTTCTTCCAGTAGTTCTGCAGCTGCTGGCCCTGGTTGCTCAGCCAACAGTCCTGAGTCCTGTAACCCATTTTTCACCAGATATCCAGGAACTCCAATATCTAGCGCGGACCTTGTTAACCCGGGCGACGTCCGAGCCGGTATGGCATTCTGAAATTTACGTCTCACCATATTTTTTATGGGAGAGACACTCTTTGTCTGACTCCTCTGATGAGACCTGTCCAGTATGGTTGAACCTCTGGCATAGCTCTCATCTTCCTCAGAGTACACAAGCCCCACAACCACGTCAAGGTAGTGCCTCACTGGGGGTCAAGGTATTATTATTATTATTATTATTATTATCTACTTTCTCAATATAATATATAGATGACAGATTAATAATTTGCAAATAGATGTAGAATTTTAAAAATTTAGGGCCAGTTTCTCAAGGGGTGCACTTTTAATGCACTTTTAAAAATGTTTGTTTTCTATTTTTTGTTTGTTTTTTAAATATTTTTTGAGTTTTGTATTTTAACTTTTTTTGAATAAAATAAAAACAGAACCAAAAAAGAAAGAAAGAAAGAAAGCTGATCAATTATTTTAACATCTTACCCAATAATTCATATGGATAGTACTATTCTTGTGGCCAATTTTAATTCAGGTTTAATTCAGCAGCCCACGTTTCTAGAACATTCTGTCAATAGAACTGAAGTTGAAAAGTTGAGGAATGGATGACTGAAAAAAGCAGAAGGCAGAGAGGTTGAGAAAGCCTCAGAAGACCATCCAAACGGTAGTGTTCAAAGGTTGTGACTCATAGACAAGCTGTGGCTCACATATCTGTCAATCACAGGAGGACTGGGCAGTGAGAAGGCCATCTCTCATCCAAGGCAAGGATGAATTGAGGAAACAGATGTTTGAAGCAGAAACAAAGAGAAAGGCACACCCCAGGAAAATAAAGGAAATACAAGTGCAAAAGTTTTTGGCAGGAATCTGGGGTTGGGGGGAATAAATTTCTAAAGAACAGATAATTGCTTATGGTGAAAAATCTTAGAACTGAAGATTTAGGAAAGACTATAAGTGGCATATTAACTATAAATAATCAATGCTCAATAGACAAGTAGATACATAATCAATAGATCACATAGACATCAACAACATCTATTGACTATGCAAAAGAGACTATCAAACAGCCCAAAAGAGAAAAAAGACTCCAGAACCTCTCCACCAGGAATCAGCATTCAGACCAGCATAGATTAACTCCAAGGTCAACTTCAGATTAAGAATGAAGTAAGCAAAACCCCAATCAAGAAACTGCCACAAAGCCATTAGTAAACAGCCCCACCAAAGAATCCTAAGACCGCCGTTCCCACCCAGATATGAAAGACATCAGAACAAAAACTGACAGCAAACAGCACTCCTTACTAGCACTAATGATGTCACCTAGTTAGGGTAATGAAACGAAAGAAAAGAAAACAAGCAAGCTCAGAGAGCACCAAGGACCCCTTATAAATAATCTGTTTTATTTGATTATAACATTTCTAAAGTTTGATTCTCTTGGCAGCCTGTAAAACGATATGGAAATATATACACCATGAGTGTTGGACCTCAACTTCTAGTAGTGCTGTCTGGATTCAAAACTGTGAAAGAAGTAATGACCAGCTTCCCAGAGGAATTCTCTGATAGATCAGAGGATGCTTTCATGACTGCTTTGGGGAAAAAAATGGGTAAGTGCAAATAGTAAGGAATTGTATCCAAATAACCACTGTTACCATTTGTGTGAATAATGGTATGTCGTGAAAATGGCTGATGGTCAGATTCCGAAAGATGAGCCAATGATTTGCTGAAGCTGGCAAAAAAGCCAATGTAGTTCTAGGCTGCATCAACCAAAGTGTACCATCAAGATATTGAGAACTGATAGCACTGCTTTACATCACTTTGGTGAGACCACATTTAAAATATTGCATCCAGTTTTGGTCACCATGAAACAAAAAAGATAGGCTATTTGCGAGACTGCTTACAACCTCATAGTTCCCTACGTCCAGTTAGATCCCACAGGCTGGGCCTCCTTCAGGCCCCGTCGGCCAAGCAGTGCCATTTGGCAGGACCGCGGAGGAGGGCCTTCTCTGTGATGGCGCCCACGCTTTGGAACCAGCTCCCCCTGGAGATTAGGACTGCTCCCACCCTGTTGGTCTTCCATAAGCTACTTAAGACCTGGCTTTTCCGGCAGGCCTGAGGTTTATAAAACCTGACCCCTGGATGACTGTCTTTATATTGTTTGTTTGTTATGTTTTATGTGTTTTCTATTGTTAGCCGCCCAGAGTCCTTCGGGAGTGGGGCGGCTTATAAATTTTAAAAATAAAATAAATAAAATAAAGATTGAAACCCTGGAACATGTGCAGAGAAGAGAACAAAATCGATAAAGGATCTGGAGGTTAACAGGTAGGTCTAGCCCAGGAGTAGGCAACCTTGGCTCTTTTATGACTCGTGGACTTCAAGTCCCAGAATTCCTGAGCCAGCTATGCATGGTTGAAATCCACGAGTCATAAAAGAGCCAAAGTTGCCTACCCCGGGGCTAGCCTATTGAAGAGAAGGATTAGGGAGAAAGTTGTCTTGTAGCACTTGAGGGCTGTCACAAAGAAGAAGGACAAGAAGTACAGGTAGTCCTTGACATGCAACCACAGTTGAGCCCAAAATCTATGTTGCTAAGAGAGATATTTGTTAAGTGAATTTTGCCCTATTTTACAGCCTTTCTTGCTACAGTTGTTAAGGGAATCATTAGTAACACGTTTCTTAAGTGAAACTGGCTTCCCCATTGACTTTGCTTGTCAGAAAGTTTCAAAAATGGATCACATGATCTCATGACACTGCAACTGACATAAATATGAACCAGTTGCAAAGCATCTAAATTTGTTTAATGAACATGAGGATGGGAATGCTGCATGGTTGTACGTGTGAAAATAGTTATAAGTCACTTTTTAAAATGGCATTGTAACTTCAAACAGTCACTAAACAAACTGGTGTTAGTCAAGGACTACCTGTAATGGATGGAAACTTGTCAAAGAGAGAACTGATGATGTTACCTAGTTCGTGGAATGAAACGTCTGCAAATGTCTATGGAGATTCTGGGTAATCCAGGGATTCAGTTTGAGATGAAGACATCACAGACTCATCCCCAATAGCCCACGCCTGTCTTCAACAGTGAAGGGACACAGGGCAGAAAACATCCTACAGCCAAGAAGGCTCCACACACATTTGCATTACTCAGGTGAACCTGAGGACACAGGTAAATCTCCAAATGGCCTCAATGACTCTCTAAAAGAATGCAAATGACTAGCAGTCTGCAAGGAGTATAAATCCTTCCATTCCCCACCATCCAGTCAGTGCTGAAGAAGCTTCTTGGATGAGAAGCGAAACGTCTTCAAAGAAAATCAAGAAAGTCCAGTTGCCTCCTGAAAAAGGACCTTTGGGACAACCATGACCTGGATGACTGAGAATCTCCATAGATCTTGTAGGAGGAAGTTACAAATGGATTCTATTACCAGTGAGAACATCCTGTCCCTTGTGCTTATAACATGTTCTCGCACGTGAACTTTTACATCATCTTAGAAGCTTTGATGTCCATCATAGAAGCTGGCAAGCACTGCAACTGTGTTCACCATATCACACATTTGTCCATGTTTTTATAATAAAACTTAACATGGCCGAAATTTTACAAAATGGCAAAACTGAACAAAGGTTTTCTACCTGAAATTCAGAGCAATGTTTGGGAAGAACTAGATCTGTTTTATTTTTTAACATGGAATGTCCTCAGGAATCACTTATCATTCTCTGCTGCTGCCTTCAGGTATTGTTTTCTCCAATGGCCACATCTGGAAAGAGCAGCGACACATCGGCATCACTTCTCTGAGGAAGCTGGGCCTGGGGAAGAAGAGCATTGAGCATCAGATAGAAGACACAGCTCAGACGTTGGTGGAAACATTTAAAAAAACAAAAGGTATGCAATTTGGGCTAATCGCTCAAGTCTCTGTCTGCAGAATGTTTTTCCATTCTCTCTATTTCTAACAAGAACAGGTATATTTGCTATGATGTTTTAAAATTTTTGAAACAATTGACAGAGTTCCCAATAATGTTGTTCATTGCCTAGAAGTCCTGTTCTTTAATAATTCATTATGAAATATCTTCATTTGCAGGAAAGCCATTTGACCCTTCAATTCCAGTAATAAATGCAGTTTCTAATATCATATGTGCTTTGAGTTTTGGTCATCAGTTTGCTCCTGAAGATGAAAGCTTCCAGAAGCTAATTCAAGCCATTGAAATTATTGTGAAATTCACTGGCAGCTTTTTTCATATGGTGAGTCATGTTTTCTGTTAAAGAGACAAAACTGTTTCCATTAATATTTTCATGTAATCATGAATGGAATTCATGGAGGAAGCCTTGGAAATCATCTATTGTACTATTATCCCCAGTGGCCAAGACAAGTCTTTGCAGTTTCCTTGTCAAGATTTTGGAAGTGGTTTGCCATTGCCCACTTTCTAGGGCTGAGAGAGAGGGACTTGTCTAGTGTCACCCAGTTGACTTAGTGCTTCAATTGGGACAAATACTCAGAATATCTCAATAAAAGATGGTCCACCACTTTCTGGGTCAATCTGATATTGAACAGTTCTTTCAATTTTTTCTTAAGAGCAAACCGATGTCTGCTTCATTATGATTTAAGCCTATTGCTTCCATGCAGAAATTCTTTTGCTGCAGCTACCAGAAAAGCCAATGCAGTCCTAGGCTGTATTAACAGAGGGATAGAATAAAGATCACATGAAGGCTTAGTACTGATTTATAAGGCCTTGATAAGACCACACTTGGAATATTGCATTCAGTTTTGGTTGCCACAATATAAAAAAGATCTTGAGACTCTGGAACAAGTGCAGAGAAGAGCAACAAAGATGATTAGGGGGCACGAGACTAAAACATATAAAGAACAACTGCAGGAATTGGGTATATCTAATCTAGTGAAAAGAAGGACTAGTGGTGCCATGGTGGCAGTACAATATCTAAAGGGTTGCCCCAAAGAAGAGGGGGTCAACCTATTCTCAAAAGCCCCTTAAGACAAGACAAGAAGCAATGGATGGAAACTAATGAAGGAGTGAACCAAGCTAGAACTAAGGAGAAATTTCCTTACAGGGAGAACAATGAACCAGTGGAATGGCTTTCCTCCAGATGTTGTGGGTACTCCACCACTGGAGATTTTAAAGAAGAGATAGGCCAGCCATTGTCTGAAATGATATAGAATCTCTTGATTGAACTGGGGGTTAGCCTAGAAGACTTCCAAGGTCCCTTCCAATCTGTTATTCTGTTATGAAAAGCTAGCAGACCGAAAATCCAACCCATGTAGTTAATTCATTATTTAGCCTGCCATGTGTTGAAAGAAAAGTCTTCATCAGGGTCCAGTCCAAGCCGGGAATAAACAAAATGGAGACTGCTTTAGAAAGAAGGTTGTAGTTTATTGAAGAGGAGAGCCGGGCAGAAAGATGGCTCTGGGAAATCTGACCACATGTAGCTGGGAGTGGTGGGTTTTTATACCTTTCGGGCTTTTGAGGTGTGTCCTTTTGGTATTCTGATGGTGGGTTAATCCTATTATGTCACCAAAGGTCATGTCTTTTAGAGTTTGGGTTGGGTATGTAGATTTTAGGGATCTTTGTCTTCTTAATCTCATGAGCTTCTAGATTCCTGGCTCCAACCTTCCTGAATGGATTATTACATCTGCATTTTTAAAAGCTGGTTTCTGCTGAGTTTCTGCTTGGGGCTATTAAGAAAAACTGGGCTTGCTTTTTTGCCTTTAAGATCCTTTGGGGAAATATATTCTGCCTATTTAATATTCCCCAAAATATTTCTTTCTCTGGATTCTTCCCACACATGTGGATCCAGTTGGTCTAATTTATTAAATCAGTTAACCATAGATAACCATAATTACAAAGGCTCCTGGAGAGAATGAGAGAATAAGGGAATTTTATATTAGCTTTAAAATAACCTATCTGCCTCTAACATGATTCTTTTCTGGAAGAATTTGGAAACAGCTTTTCTGGAGGACCTTTGGGACCTGACACCATGTAAAGTTTGCCATGTTTCAATGTGCTTGCAATGTTTTTCTTTGGTTATTAAGTGCTGTCTATTACTCTGAGCTGCTGAGAGTCTTCTTTAGTTGTAGTAGGAAATAAATAAACAACCTTTCCTTTTCCATTTCTATTAGATGTTTGTTGTCTTCCCACGATTAATCAGCTACTTCCCAGGGCCTCACAAGAAGGCCCTGGCTGCTATGGAATTGATTGTGTTGTTTGCAAAGCAGAAAATAGAGAAACACAAAGAATCCAGCTCTCTGCATGAGCCACAAGATTTCATTGATCACTATCTTCTTCAGATGGAGAAGGTATGGGTTTATTGTAGTTCAATACATGGGCAAGGAATTATTACATTCCTGGCTATAAGTAAGAAGAGGCGATACTGGAATTTTTTTCTTTTTCATTCAACTCCCATTCTGAATTTCACCCATTCTAAATTCCGGTTGCTTCTAAATAAGGACTATATTGTACATCTGTAATATTAGACTCTTGTTATACATGGAAGGTTCCTTGGAGAAGTTAGAAATGTTTTTTTGTCATCCTGTAATGTTTGCCTACCACTCCTTTCCCCCTTTTATAAAGATGTTCCATTAAGAAGGAAAAGAATTAACAAGTAGAGACGTTTGATTGATTCATACTTAAATAAATATTACCCTGAAATGGTTGGAAAGGGACAGATATGTTCACAGCTTTGGCCATAAGGAAAAATGTAAAACAATTTGAAACAAGCAATAAAGATCCTCCTCTCCATTGTTTTCAGAAAAACATTGATTTTTTTTTAGAACAACTTTTATCAGTTTGAAGTTACGTTTGCCTTTGGTCACTTTATTTACATTTTGATACCATCAGTCTTGAGTGTATGAATGGTTCAAGGGTGGTGCAGTGCTTCAGTTCATTTTTCACTCTCTATAATGCTATTATCAGTACATAATAGCATCCATGGGTGTTATAATTGTAGGTTTCTGGTTACAGTGTCCACACTAATTATAATGAGCGATGGTGAGTGGTTGGACCATTTGTAGTTGGGAAAGGAATAGGTCATGTGGTACTTGCTCAAACGCCTCTCTATCTCAGTGATTGTCATACCTGTGGTTTGTTTCACAAGATGCTTCTCCATCAATAGGCAGGTAGACTGGATTGTCTCGTTTGTCCCATAATTCTTCAGGACATTACACTAGTTTGGTGAAAGGTTATTGAGGTTTCACAAGAATCCAGTACAGGTATTATTTGATGTACAACTGGGCCCAAAATTGCTAAGCAAGTATTGCTAAGCAAGACAGTGAATTCTACCCCCTTTTATAACCTTTCTTGTTAGAGCTGTTAAGTGAACCATGGGATCGTTAAGTGAATCTGGCTTCTCCATTGACTTTGCTTGTCAGAAGCCAGCTAGGAAGGTTACGAATGGTGATCACATGACCCCAGGACAGTACAACTGTCATTAATACATGCCCGTTGCCAAGCACCTGACTTTTCATCACATGACCATGGGGATGAAATTAGGTCATAGAGTAAGTCACGTTTTTCACTGCTGTTGAAATTTTGAACGATCACCAAATGAATGGTTGTAAGTTGAGGTCTTCCTGCACTCTAAAAAATGCATGAATTGTCATAATGTGGCATAGTAGCCACAAAAGCTGGTAGTGAGATCGGTCATGTACATCACCTTTGGCCATAACGTTAAATTAGAATGCATGCAGATACTCCTGCTGTTGATGTTTTGTGATTCACTCTAGTAGGTGCACATTAATCACTGTTCCACATGCAAGCATTTACTGAGGTAACCAATCATAAAATAAAAGGAAATGAATTCAAGTTCTTCCAAAGCCAAATCTTTCTTTGATCTTAGCTACTTCAATTTAGTATCTTATTCAGTGTGAACCTACCAGGTTTATATTTATTCTCATGGCTTGCTACACAGAGATATAAATAACTATAAAAAACTTGCATAGAATTCATTGTAATTTTTATTTTCCATTTTAAACATCAGAGCAGGAATGATCCCAACTCTACCTACAATGAAGAGAACCTGGCTCAGTGTATTGTTGATTTTTTTGCTGCTGGGACACAGACAACCTTGACTACTCTGATGTGGGCACTGCTCCTCTTGACCAATCATCCCGACATCCAAGGTGAGAGAAATCTGGGCTGTGGGAACAAGGCGCGTCTCAGGTTTTATAATATACAGAAATTATTTGAAATTCTAAGCTATTGAATGAGCAACTGAATCTATTCTTCATAAGAATATAGATAAGCAGGGGCATGAATTTAGCAGTATTAAAGGAAAGCCAGCATATAAGCAGGGGCATGAATTTAGCAGGATTAAAGGAAAGCCAGGAATGTACAAATAGAGAGCCTTCTTTGAATTTTCAATAAAATGTTGAGTGAGGAACTAAAAACTGGAATCAGTACAAATCTAAAACATTTAATACATTCAGTGTAGAAATCTACCATGTTTTTCAGATTTGCTACTTGTTTTTGGCCTAAATTGGATATAGAGGACCAAATTTCAGCATGATAATAACTATAGAAAAAAGTCAAGATGGAGGCAGCAAGCAAATGCATAACACAAGGCTTCCTGACATGAAGGGAAGGAATGGGGAAATTGTGGGGGAGGAGGTGGTTACCACTTGGAGCAGCAAATGAAGCCCTCAGTCTTCTCCTTAATCCTACTTTCTTCCTGCCCTGCTTCTGCTGAGTCTGCTCCTTGACCGGAGACGAGAAGCTGAAGAGACCAAGCTAGAATGGTCTGGCAAAAAGAGGGGATTGGTCTGGAGCTGGGAGCCCACTGAGGCTTGCATTTTCATCCTGCTAACCAGGGAAGACCCCTGGCCACAGATTTGGGGTGGAGGGGTGGCGAGTCAATCTAGGGCCATTGTCTGCAGCACCAAGGGACACAACTAGGAGAACAGACTGTTCATCATTGTAAAATGTTGAAAGTACCAAGATGTTAAAAGTACTATCATGATGCCTGGGGAATGTTCATTTGGGGATTCCTTTCATGCCCCCTAAAAAAGTCCACCAAAGTAGTACCTATTTATCTACTCACATTTATAAGCTTTCAAACTGCTAGTTCAGCAGGAACTGGAGCAAGTGTCAGGAGCTCACCCAACAACAAAGCAGCCCTCAGGTCTTGAACGGGGGCTTGCAGATTGTCAGCCCAGCATTCTAGCCATGTGAGCCACCATGCTCCTATGAGACTGGTGGGAAGTAGAGAGGTGGCTTTGAGTCTGACCCGGTGCCAGTCTGAAGGTGTTGAAGGGCTGGAAGCCATGCCAAAGAGTGTGTGTTAAGGGTGGAAGGCTGATGGAGGTACTGGAAAGAGCCAGCTTGGAGCTGGAGCTGGAGACAGCTCAGAAAGATGTCACGCTGTCAGGGACTGGAAGCAAGAACTGGCCTAGGGAATCAGGGAAGTATGTGATTCAGATCATAGATTGAAATGAGGAGTACAAATTCCACAGATCAGGGATGGATTTGGGGCCATCTGGTACTGAACACCAGGTTATGGCAGCAAACTTTGGAATTCCAACACACATAGAGCCCAGAAGCTGGATTCCCATTGGCACTAAGAGCTACAGTGAAAATGCCACATTGGGTGAGTCTGTATGACTGGCAGAATGACTTGTCTGCCAGCACAGTAGGAGGTCAGGTTTAGGGGTAGAAGAGCAGCTCGTAGGGTTTAGAAAAAGCAATTCAAATAGTGATGGGTAGGAATATAAATAGGTGCCAGGGGCAAGCCCCAGAAGCAGCTTAAGTGTTCATGGCCATCACGGCAGCTTTTTCAGGTTATCCATGACCTAACCCAGGACAGTGGACACCCTTGAAGACATGATCTGCTTGTCAAAACAGTGGCAATGTGATCTGCTCTGGGAGTTATCATTATTCCCTCTGTCATGGTCAGACTACACAGTGGTGTCCTTGAGATTTTCCAGCCCTGCCCCCTCTGCAGTGAGACTGGACCGATTCACATAGTCTCTTCTTGATGACTGATGGACTATTCAGATTCCATAAGGAGCTGTGGGATTGTCCTGGGGGATCTGCTGTGTCGCCCTTTGGAGGCTCTGGCCACAGCCTGGAATCAGAAAACAGCTGCAGACATGGACAGGATTGTGCCCATATGCCCTCTCTTGGCCCATCACTTCTGACACTCCAGTGGTTTATGGAGGAGTTGAGGATATTGAAGAGACAAATGCCCGTGAAGGAATAAAAAAAACAGAATTGCCATTAAGTCCTTACCTCGTGGTGCTAAGAGCGACAAAATGCCACATCACTGCAGAGGGGATGTTCACAGCATCATTTAAGGAGACCTTGATCTGACTCTTCCTTAAGTCACCTTCACTGAACCACACCTTTCTTGACAATTTCTGTCCAGTTTGCCATCTCCCCTTTTTAGTGAAGGGGAAAGTAGTGGAAAAAATGGTTGCACTATGGGTCCTGGATGAAATGGATATCTGCACCCCTTTCAGCCAGGTTTCAGGCCTGGTTATGGGACAGAGACATTAACCATACTTGGATGATCTCTGGAGGGAGTGGGATGGGGAAAGCACGTCCATCATTGCTCTTCTTTTCCTGTCTGCGGCTTTTGATACCATCAACTGTGGTATCCTTTTCAGCTGGCTATGGGAATCAGAACTGGATGGTGTCAGACAGGTCCTGTGTGCAATTTGTGGATTCTTCCAGACTCATGACTCCAATTGAAAGAGCAGGCGGCATCAAGGCTAGGAGACTCTTTGTGCAATTTCATGTTATTTGCCAATTGTACCCTTTCATGGATTGTGAGGACCTGTGCAGGGTCACTCATGCCTTGTAATCTCTCATTTGGATTACTGCAATGTGCTCTACTTGGGCTACCCTTGAAGAATGTTCGTAATCTACAGCTGGTAGCAAATCCAGTGGTGCAGCTACTTCTAGAGATCCCTTGGGTGGCACATTTAACACCACTTTTACATGAGCTGAGCTGGTTGGTAGTTTGGTTCTGGGTGCAGTTCAAGGTGAATTTAAAACCTTTTATGGAGTGGGTGTAGGGCACCCACATTTCTGGGTTGGTTGTGCAAGGCTCACAGCATTGCTAGTGCTGGAGCAAGGGGGGGGGTGAGCGTGCACACATGTGCACTCACACTGGCCAGCCACTCACATTACCGAGTGGCTAAGAGGCCATGGTCTGGTAGTGGGCTATGGCCCATAGGTTGGGAACCACTGGTCTAGTGGAGCTGTCTCAATCCAATGTGACAAGCCCGTCCTAGTTTCTCTAGCAGAAGAGACCTACTGACTGCTATAGAATTTCAACTGGCAGTATTCAGGAGAAGAGGTTATTCTGCTGTGGCCCCCACTGTCTAGAATATTCTTCTCCTGAAGATGAGGTCCACCCTTACCCTGCGGATCTTCAGGAAGAGTCTTAAAACTTCGCTCTGCCAATTGCTCTGGAGCCCTTATAGAGGTGCACTACTATGGGAGTGACTGGTAGGGTAGAGAGACAATCCTATTTCTTGTTACCCATCCTCTTGGTTTTTAGTTTATTTAATCCTCTTTATTTTAATTCTTCCCCTTTATGGATTACTGCCTTATCGTGGCGAAGGGGCTTGTGTAACTCAATGAAGCTATAAGCTATGCCGTGCAGGGCCACCCAAGACAGACAGGTCATAGCAGAGAGTTCAGACAAAATGTGATCCACTGGAGAAGGAAATGGCAAACCACTCCAGTATCTTTGCCATGAAAACCCCATGGACAGTACTAAAAGGCAAAAAGATATGACACTGGAAGATGAGCCCCTCAGGTCGGAAGGTGTCCAATATGCTACTGGGGAAGAGCAGAGGGCTAGTACTAGTAGCGCCAGAAAGAATGAAGCGACTGGGCCAAAGCCGAAAGGACGCTCAGCTGTGGATATATCTGGTGGTGAAAGGAAAGTCCGATGCTGTAAAGATTTTTTCTCCATAGGAACCTGGAATGTAAGATCCATGAATCAAGGCAAGCTAGACGTAGTCAAAAAAGAGATGACAAGACTGAACATCGACATCTTAGGAATCAGCGAACTAAAATGGACAGGAATGGGTGAATTTAACTCAGATGACCAGCAGGTATACTACTGTGGGCAAGAATCCCTCAGAAGAAATGGAGTAGCCTTCATAGTCAATAAAAGAATAGGAAAAGCAATACTGGGATACAATCCCCAAAATGACAGAATGATCTCAATTCGAATCCAAGGCAAACCATTCAATATCACAATAGTCCAAATCTATGCCCCAACCACTGGTGCTGAAGAGGATGAAATTGACCAGTTTTATGAAGCCCTACAGCACCTTATAGAATTAACACCAAAAAATGATGTCCTTATCATCATGGGGGATTGGAATGCTAAGGTAGGAAGCCAAAAGATAACCGGAATAACAGGCAAGTTTGGCCTTGGAGTACAAAATGAAGCAGGGCACAGGCTAATAGAATTTTGTCAAGAGAATACGATGGTCATAACAAACACTCTTTTCCAACAACCCAAGAGACGGCTCTACACATGGACATCACCAGACGGTCAACATAGAAATCAGATTGACTATGTGCTCTGCAGCCAAAGATGGAGAAGCTATATACAGTCAGTAAAAACAAGACCAGGAGCTGACTGTGGCTCAGATCATGAGCTTCTTGTTGCAAAATTTAGGCTTAAATTGAAAAAAGTAGGGAAAAGCACTAGGCCACTCAGGTATGAACTAAATCATATTCCTAATGAATATACAGTAGAGGTGACAAATAGATTTAAGGAATTAGATCTGATAGACAGAGTGCCTGAAGAACTATGGATGGAAGTTCGCAACATTGTACAAGAGGTAGCAACTAAAACCATCCCAAAGAAAAAGAAATGCAAGAAAGCAAAATGGCTGTCTGAGGAAGCTTTGCAAATAGCTGAGGAAAGAAGGGAAGCGAAAGGCAAGGGAGAAAGAGAAAGATACACCCAATTGAATGCAGAATTCCAGAGAGTAGCTAGAAGAGATAAGAATGCCTTCTTAAATGAACAGTGCAAAGAAATAGAAGAAAACAACAGAATAGGGAGGACCAGAGATCTCTTCAAGAAAATTGGAGATATGAAGGGAACGTTTCATGCAAAGATAGGCATGATAAAGGACCAAAATGGCAGGGACCTAACAGAGGCAGAAGAGATTAAGAAGAGATGGCAAAACTACACAGAAGAACTATACAAGAATGAGCTTAACATCCCAGATAACCACAATGAGATGGTCACTGACCTCGAACCAGACATCCTAGAATGTGAAGTGAAATGGGCCTTAGAAAATCTGAGCAACAACAAAGCTAGTGGAGGTGACAGTATTCCAGCTGAGCTATTCAAAATCCTAAAAGATGATGCAGTAAAAGTGCTACACTCAATTTGCCAGCAAATTTGGAAAACTCAACAGTGGCCACAGGATTGGAAAAGGTCAGTTTACATTCCAATTCCAAAGAAAGGCAATGTCAAAGAATGTTCAAACTATTGCACCATTGCACTCATTTCACATGCTAGTAAAGTTATGCTTAAAATCCTACAAGCTAGACTCCAGCAGTATGTGAATCGAGAACTACCAGAAGTACAGGCAGGATTTCGAAGAGGCAGAGGAACTAGAGATCAAATTGCCAACATACGCTGGATCATGGAGAAAGCTAGGGAGTTCCAGAAAAACATCTACTTCTGCTTCATTGCCTATGCTAAAGCCTTTGATTGTGTGGATCACAACAAATTGTGGCAAGTTCTTAAAGAGATGGGAATACCAGACCATCTTATTTGTCTCTTGAGAAACCTATATGCGGGTCAAGAAGCAACAGTGAGAACTGGACATGGAACCACTGATTGGTTCAAAATTGGAAAAGGAGTCCGGCAAGGCTGTATACTGTCGCCCTGCCTATTTAACTTATATGCAGAGCACATCATGAGAAAGGCAGGGCTAGATGAAACAAAAGTTGGAATTAAGATTGCCGGGAGAAATATCAACAACCTAAGATATGCAGATGATACCACTCTAATGGCAGAAAGTGAAGAGGAACTAAAGAGCCTCTTGATGCGGGTGAAGAAGGAGAGTGCAAAAGTTGGCTTGAAACTCAACATTAAGAAAACCAAAATCATGGCATCCGGCCCTCTCAATTCCTGGCAAATAGATGGGGAAGAAATGGAGGTAGTGACAGATTTTATTTTTCTGGGCTCCAAGATCACCTCAGATGGGGACTGCAGCCAAGAAATTAAAAGACGCTTGCTCCTGGGGAGGAAAACTATGGCAAATCTAGACAGCATACTAAAAAGCAGAGACATCACCCTGCCAACAAAAGTGCGTATAGTATATAGGCCATGGTTTTCCCAGTTGCAATGTATGGCTGTGAAAGTTGGACCATAAGAAAGGCTGAGCATCAAAGAATTGAGGCCTTTGAACTATGGTGCTGGAGAAGACTCCTGCGAGTTCCTTGGACTGCAAGGCGTTCAAACCGGTCAGTCCTAGACGAGATCAACCCCGACTGCCCTTTAGAAGGCCAGATCCTGAAGTTGAAACTCAAATATTTTGGCCACCTAATGAGAAGGAAGGACTCACTGGAGAAGGGCCTAATGCTGGGAAAGATTGAGGGCAATAGAAGAAGGGGACGACAGAGAATGAGATGGCTGGATGGAGTCACTGAAGCAGTAGGTGTGAACGTAAATGGACTCCAGAAGATGGTAGAGGACAGGAAGACCTGGAGGAACATTGTCCATGGGGTCGCGATGGGTCGGACACGACTTCGCAATTAACAACAACAACACATTTTAATTCTTCTGTACTATCTTTTTTCTCTTCTTATTATATTGTAAGCCTCCCCTTCTGAGTTACTGTAACAGTGAGATGGGTAACATATACATATAATGATTTTAAAAAATAATAAAAATAAATAAACAAACAAGTGCTTTACAAAAATTTGGTCCACATTATTTTCAAGATAATTATAGAACTTTCTTTAAACTGAATCAGATTTCTAAACTGGTTTGGGATTGAATTCTAGGGATTGACTACACTTTGGGCACAATTATTAGGCAAGTTGTATTTTGGAAGATTAATTTTCTTATTCAATAACTACAGTGCTGTCGGTCAATCCAAGATGCTAATAAACCTCAAACCTGAATATTTAAGAAAGTAAAAGTGTAGTTTTGTCTTTTTTAGGAGAATATCTATGTGTGCACAATTTTGGGGCAACTATTAGTGAGCAGAATTATCATGTAACTAAATGAAAAAAAATGAAAATTTGCCCATCTCACTCATTTATTTGCATCTGTTAAAGTGAGAATAATAAACAACTCAAAATGTGCAAATAAATATTTCTGATATTTCAAAAAACAAAAGAAAATTGGAGTCAGTCAGTTTCTTGATCTGTTGACGATCAACGTTTTGTGCAGCAGCAACCACAGCCTCCCAAACATTGTTCAGAGAGGTGTACTGTTTTCCTTCACCGTAAATCTGCCATTTAAGAAGGGCCCACAAGTTCTCAATAGGGTTTAGGTCAGATGACAAAGGGGGCCATGTCATTGCTATTTCATCTTTCAGGCGTTCACTGGCTAGCCATGCAATGGAGTGCTTTGATGCATGTGATGGAGCATTGTCCTGCATAAAAATCATGGTCTTCTTGAACGATGCAGACTTTTTCCTGTACCACTGCATGAGAAATTGTCTTCTAAAAACTGGCAGTAGTTTTGGGAGTTGATTTTGAATATCCCACCTCCAACTTTCTGGTGTCTGAATCAAAGTGGAGCTCTGTGCGCATAACTGATCCAGCCATGGGGCAATCTATCTGCTCCATCAAGAGTCATTCACATCTCATCAGTCCATAAAACCTTTGAAAATTCTGTCTTCAGAGATTTCTTGGCCTAGACTTACCAGTTCATCTTCCGTGTCTTGTTCAGTGGGAGTTGGGTTTCAGTCTTCCTTACCTTGGCTATGTCTCTGAGCACGGAGCACCTTGTACTTCAAGGTACTCCAGGTAGGTTGCAAATCTGGACTATGTCAGCACTGGAGGATAATGGGTTCCTGCGTAGCTTCACGTTTGATTCTTCTCATATCTTTGGCAGTTAATGTGTGTCTCTTTTTCTCAACACATTTCTTCCAATCCTGTTAAGAATTTCCAACAAAACCTTTGATGGTTGTGTGGAAAATTCAAGAGTGCTGCATCCCTCTGAAAGACTTTTTACAATATTTGACTTTTCAGAGTCAGTTGAATGTCTTTTTTGCCTGAAGAAAAGAAGCAGCATAATAATTATGTATCCCTTGATAAAGAGTGTTGACCTCCTTAGGCCAAACCCTCCCTCATTACACAACTACACATCACCTGATATTCTTATATCCACTAAGCATTCGTGTTTATACAGCTTGGAAGTGGAAAATATACATAAAAATGATGATACGGTCCAAATATTCACTTGCCTAATAATTGAGCACATAGTGTAGATTGAAAAAGGTTCCGTGGAATATTTCAACTGAATGAACAGTTTTCATCAATATTCTGAACCTGTTTGGACTGGATATGATCAGAGCACAGGAAATGCATTTTCAATCTACTCTCCTTCATAATATTTTTTTAAAAGGAAGCAGGGCTTTTCAACCAGTGGTACGGGTACCACCTGTGGTACATTGGCACCTGGCAGGTGGTATGTGACCATCCTAGAAAAGTGGTAGCAGGGGAGGGGAATGAGCTGAACTGGTGGCAGCACCGCACAAGCCTGAGCGAGAGATGGGTGGAGCTGCAGGGCTGTCAGGGCTCAGTGGAAGCACCAGGATCAGTGCCAGTCTCCAGCTGTATCTCAGTGCTGATCCTGACACTTCTGCTGAGCCCAGAAGAAGCACCAATCAGCTGGAAAGCAGCACTGATTCTGACACTTCTGCTGAGCCCAGAAGAAGCGCAGATCAGCTGGAATGTTGCAGCATCTCCAGGGTCTTGTGATTTACATTCAGATGTTTGGCAACTGATTCATATTTATGATGGTCACAGTGTCCCAGGGTCATGTGAAGTGACCAAAACCTGCTGCAACTACCCAGAAGATGGGGGGAATAAAAACCAAACACCCACCACCCCACCCCCGCTGCCAATCCTCAACAGAAATGCTCACAACAATGAAAACCTCGGACAGGAGGAAGAGTGTGGCCAGGCGGGCAGGTGTCTTGCTCGGTTGTGGCTTGGGGGGCACATTTTTTCACTGCCATTGTAATTTTGAATAGTCACTAAGCGAACTGTTGTAAGTCGAGGTCTACCTGTACTTTATCACTTTTTCCTTTTCCTTTTTTTTTTTTTTGGTCATCAAGTTTTTGACACATTGTTAGGCGACTGGTGCTACTCGGATGTTGCCATATCCTAAAAATGATGCAATGGGTGAAAAGATTGAAAAGCCCTGCCCTAAAGGGTATTCTATGTCCTAAACTTCTGTTAAGGATTAAAATTTGGAAACGAGTAAATGAAACATAATAATGAAAAAGAGGCTTCTATTTCTATTGTTTTTTTCTAGAGAAAGTCCAGAAAGAGATTGAAGAAGCCTTTAGTTCCTCGGTCTCAATTTTCTATCAGGATCGGAAGAAGCTGCCCTACACCAATGCCGTGATTCATGAAATTCAGCGTTTAAAATATATTTTGCTATTTGGGCTTCCCAGGCAAAGTACAAAAGATGTGACGATGAAGAGTTACCACATTCCAAAGGTGAGAAATGCTAAGAATAGCCACTGCTTCCAGAAACTGCTTTGGAAATGAACAAATATGGGTCTATCAAGACAAGCTAAAACCAAACATTTCAGTAATATTGTTTGAATATTTTTGCAGAGGACCATGATTTTGGCAGACCTGCGCTCTGTTCTTCTTGACCCTGAACAATGGGAGACGCCTGAAGAATTCAACCCAAATCACTTTTTAGATAAGGATGGGAAGTTCATGGAACGAGAAGAGTTTCTGCCCTTTGGAATAGGTACGTCCATGAGCCCAAAGCAGTTTATCACATATAGATTCCGACCACCCCCATCACTGTGTTATTCTGAAGTCATCATGGACTGAATAGAAAATCCATGAATTTCTATTCCTTTTACTTTCAAAACCATGAGAATCTGAAGTTCCTCTTAGGCTATAAAGTTTAAACTACAAAGAAATACTAATTATATTTATATGGTAATCAGTAGAGCTTTGCACAATTATCTCTGTTTTTGGGGGGAGAATTATTAGCTAAATCCAAAGAAAAGAAGCCTACTTTTAGCTTCTTTTTTAAAAAACAAATTGTATTAGTTTTTTAATTCTTTTTTATTGAAAATTTTTAAAATTTTACAAAAAAAAGATTCCCCACCCCAAAGCCTCCCAACCCACCCCAACCCCCCCCCCAACCTTCCCAGAGCTGAATACAGGCTTAATTAAAACTTAAAAAAAAATTTAAACACTTGTAAACCATAAACAATTAATTACAATAATTAAACAAATTATAAAATACTTTAAGACCAATATATAAAAAGCAAAAAAAATAATTATGATTTAATAATAATAATAATAATAATAAAGTTGGAAGAGACCTTGGAGGTCATCGAGTCCAACCCCCTGCTCAGGCAGGAAACCCTATACCATTTCGGACAAATGGCTGTCCAGTCTCTTCTTAAAAACTTCCAGTGTTGGAGCATTCACAACTTCTGGAGGCAGGTTGAACCACCCTTAAAATTTTATAAACTTTAAGTGTAAATTATTCAAAAAAACCCTAAACATTTTCTAATGTCATTACTTATATTATTTAAAATTCATCCCTCTTTCTTTATAAACACCCTCAAAAACACACATATAAACATTACTTATATCATTGAAATTCCCTTATACATATTTAAAACAAAATATTCCTTTAAATACTCCTTAAATATCTAAACATGCACTACCTATCTAAAATTTTCATTCAATCTCCATAATATCATACTTATATTATATAAGATCTAATCTATCCCTCTTTCTTTATCATCAAACACAAAAATAAACATATAAACGTTAATTATACCATTAAAACAAAATATTCTTTTGAATACTCCTTAAATTACTGAACTTAAACTTCTTATCTAAAATTTTTATTCGATCTACATAATCTTCTCTCCTCTTTACCAATAACCAATTCCATCCACAATGAACTATAATCTGTCAATAACCTAAAAACAATCTATACATTCTTTATCAATCTCTCTTATCCAAAAACCTCAAGAGAAGTGCTTGAAAATCTGCCCTTGAAGATTGCTCCCAAAAGTTTATAGATCTTGCTTCTCCCGCAGGCTCAGAAACAAATACTTGTGAGGCTTCCTTAACCTCCTTCTTCTGTTGCTCCTTTTCTTTGCGTTTATGTATTACACGAGTTATCCTCTGCTCCTTCTTCTCAACTTGTTGAGGCCCCCTCAGTCTGAGATTTCCCAGTTTTCATCAATATAGGCTCTTCAGACTGCAAGTCTGCCTTCTTCTCTTCCAGAGCTTTAAACATAATAGGTGGTGATAAACATACCTCCAGGACTGAAGTATAAAACTCTTTTGCTTTAGAAACAGTATTAAGTCTATAACGTGTCCCCGCATAATTCACCACCATTCCGGTCGGGACATCCCATCTGAACAACATTTGCCTCTTTTTAAGTTCATCTGCTAAAAAAGCAAACTCCTTTCTTCTTCTTAAAATTTTAGATGGAATCTCCTTTAAAATTATAACATCTTGTGAAGCAATCTGAAACCTCTTATTGTAAAAAGCTTGTATAATTTCATTGCGCAGGGATCTTTTCCCAAAATAAATTACCACATCTCTTGGCAAATTTCTTTGCTTTACCACCACAGAATTGACCCTAAATATTTTTTCAATTTGGCTAAATATTTCCTCTTTTTCTCTGTCCAAAATCACAGCAATGTCATTTGCAACCATCTCTCTCAGATCTCCTTGCAGATACTCTCTCAAGCCTCTAATTCTTAAAGCATATTCCATTTCTCTATATTGAAGCATAAGAATCTCATCTTGAGAATTTTCCATCTCTTTTTCCATGCCTTCAAATTTTCCCTCCAACAGGTCCACTTTATCTGTAACCTCTTCTACACGAAAATACAACTTTTCAAGAACAGAGGCAAATCCTTTTAAAGCCAAAACTATATCTTGCCTCAGAATCCTATTATTTTCCGCTAAAATCTCTTTCATTTCTCCCCTGATTTGGGATATAGCATTTCCCATTATGTCTTGCAAATCTTTTACCGTTAATAACTGTACCAAAGGAGAGGGTGATACTATTGATTTAGATTGTTGCACTGATGATATCACCGAAGAAGGAACCACCTTAGGAGCTGTGGAAATTACTGGACGCTTTGGAGCCATATTAGAAAATCTTTACTCCTTCTTAAAAAATACCCAAAAAAGGAGGGAAAAAGGAATTAAACAAAAAAGGGGGGATTAACTCCAAAAAATCAAAAACTCCTTCAAAAGGAGATCATTATAATAAGAAGAAAAAAGTTAGAAAAAAAGAAAAAGGAAGGGGAAAAAGAGTAATTAAATAGAAAAAATCCATTCCGTTTTTTTTCCTTTAAAAGTACAAAAAATAAAATAAAAAATTCCTTCAAAAAATAAAAAAAGTTAGACAGAAAGGGAAAATAATCCTCCTGAAATCCAAACCCAACATCAAAAAATCATTATAAATAATCAAATCCATTCCATTCCGTTGCAGTCATTAAAAAAAAAACCCAAAAAAAACTGCCGATCGCCATTTTACTTTCCCTTTCAACAAAAGGAGAAAACAAAAAGAGGGAATAAAAGTAAATCTTTAAATTTAAAATCAAAATGAAATCAGAAAAAGCAAAATCCTCTATTCAGCTCTGTCCGCTTTAAAAAAAAACTCACCAGATCACTTTAATCGCGGAGGTGGGTGCAGCGGCTTGTTTTGTCCCTAGAGACAAAAACAGCTGGGAAGCGGAGACAATCCGAACTCCGTGGGAGCACTCTTTTCACCCCCCAAAAATGGGGGTGCATCAGAGGCTCTACCACTATTCGGATGATACTCACCTCCCTCCCTTTGCCCGGGAAGGAGGTTTTGAACCACAGAACAGCTGATGTCTGCTGTTCATAGCGGTTCTAACACTTTCTCAGGAGGACGGCTACAACGTAGCCGCCATCGAGCGTGCAAATCCAGTTTTTTAATTCTTAAGACAAAGTGTTCAAGACACAACGTGATGCTAGGGTAATCAAACATCCCAAAACAAAACATATATACATAATTCCATCAATACATCAAGTATTCCCTCTCTTTTTCCCTTAAATAGTATAATTTATTTAAAATAATACAACTCTAGCTTAAATTTATTCAACCTGGACCTGTTTTTAAAGCTTTATAAATTTACAATACCGTAATCAAATTAACTTTAAATAAAAACATTATCAATTCAGGTATCCCTTCGAAATATGTTCTAGTTCCTTAATTTTATCATAAATTTTATTTATTTCTTCTTCCACTAATATCCCTTATTTAAAATAAAATATTAATCTATCCTATACATATCTAATCCATCAATCCATATACATATCTAATCCATCAATCAATCGATCTCTTTAAGATGACCTTAAATCATTTCAATCCATTAGACAGAATTCAAATTTCATCCAATTAATTATCATAACTAATAACATCCATATTATAAAACAAACAAATCATCTTATTAGATTAACTCAACATTACATAATAATTTTCATACAAATAAACCTATCCTTCTAAAAGACACATTCTTAATCAATTTAAAATGTATATTCCATTAATCATCCATTTTTCTCTTACTTCTAACTCACAATCTTAGTCCATAAATCAGTCCATAATTCTAGATTGCCTTTAATCCATTACAAAAAATATCTCCTTTTTAAGCTAAAATATTGATCTACCCTAAATATATCTAATCCATCAATCAATCAATCTCTTTAAGCTGACAAAATAATATCAAACCTTAGATCATTTCAATCCATTGAGCATCAAACAAACAAATCATCTTATTAGATTAACATTCAATTAGTTATTAAATCAATCCAGATCTAAAACATCTCTTCAATTGTCTTCCTTCCATTAAATAATAATTTTCATATAGATAAATCTATCAGTCCAAAAATACATTCTTAGTCAATTTAATATATATATTTCATTAGTCGCCCATTTTTCTCTTACTTCTAGCTCATAATCTTAATCCTTAAATCGATCCATAATTCTAGATTGTCTTTAGTCCATTACATAAAAGTTTTAAATTTCATTTCTTTTCACTCTTATTCTGGCCTTCTTCTTATGCCAAACAGGGTTCCATAGCATAGCTTCCCTTCCAGCTGATAAGTCTCTCTTTGTTGCTTGCAATGTCATTTGAATCAGTCAAAACTATCTTGGCCTCTGCATTGGCCCTCTGTTTCTCTTAACCATAAAGCCTCGTTGCTTTAACAGTTCAAATCTCAGTCTTTGCTTTTTCTGGTCCTCAAAGTCCTAAGTGAACTGCTTATAAGGCAAAATAAATTTCTCTTTATTCTCAGTTAAATCCTCTTCTTGTGTAATCTGTTTTATAGAATAGTCAGGTATAGTCTGAGAGTCAGTTTTGAAGTTTAAGGGAGAGATTCTGGCTCTTAATTCTGTAATAAACTCTTTCATTGTAGCACATATTTCTTCTTTAGCCTCATAGATCTTTTCCAGTATAAGTTTACAATTTAAATATGAGTGAGGCTCCGTTTTAAAAATAGTTGAAGAGAAATCCTTTTTTTTCCCTTTTGGTGGAAGCTGTTGCTAATAGCAGTAGAAAAATATCCACCCCCAGAAATCCCACAGCTGCATCAAGTTATCTTTCTCTTAAAAAACAATTTGAAGGCCAAAACCATCTCATCTCCAAATAGTCAACAATTACAATATTAACATTTGACCAGTAGACTGTCCTCAGTCAGCTAAAAAATCTTTTTCAAATGCCATTTTCCCCTTTTTTCTATTTTTTAACGAAAAAGTGGAGAAAGAAATACTCTTCCAATATAAGATGATAATACCGCTCCCCCCCCAAAAAAAACAGCATAAGATGATGGTACAGCTCTTAGAAAATAATTTTTTCAGTACCCCAAAACATGTGAAAATAAAATGTAGTCTTTAAGATTTTGTTCTATTCTTTTGTTCAACGCCTTTCTTACCAAACATGTAGAAGATGCTTTTCCAAGCCAGGGATATAATTCCAGCAGGGCTTTTACAGGCAAAAAAAAAAGCAAAATAGAATGAAAAGAGGAGCAAAATAAAAAGTCTCACCCGGATTCACCACAGTGGTTTTTAAAGCTTAGATGTTCTTTGACTTACGGTTTGAAGCGGCTAGGTGATCGGTTATTTTACTGGCCGTTCTTCTTCTGCGTCCGCCCTCAGAGTTGGCCCGGACAGCTGGAGGAACCACCGCTCCTCCGCATCCGAGCAAAGCCTCTTTGACAGAAGTCGCACCCTCCAGGGTGACTTTCAACCCGCATAAGGGTCTACCGGCAGAGGGAAACTAGCCAATGAGGAGACAAGTCTCTTCGTGAGATTAGAGGCACCGTGATCTGGATCCAGAAGTCACTTTTAGCTTCTTAATGATGGATCTGCATCACAGAGTTTTGGTCCTAGATGCATTAAGCTCACTCTTTTTAATGGCTGCAGTGCTCCCCCTACAACAGCGTTTTCATCCTGTCTGGTACTGCTTATATACCAATGAGTGTTTTTCTATTGCTGGTGCTGATAACAAACGGCATAAAAGGCACAGCTTCAGTTATGATAGATATGGAAAAACTATTGTTGTCCCCCAAAACTCATGTCCTCCTACCTAAACATACAGCCCCAATGACCCACACCAGTCAGGTGGAAAGGAAAAAAAATCCTTTTCTATGTAAATAAAAGATCTACTCGGAAGCAAGTTCTGAATGGGCACACCTCTGCTTGGAGTGGACCCCCTTTGATGCAATTTTGAAAAGTATACATTGCCATGATGCCAATCATGGAAATACATATCATTATAAAATAATCATTAAAAGCAGTATACATCTTGCTTACATCTTCAGGGTCATAGTAAGACAGTTTTAATTAATCCATATGTCATCCACCTTATAATAAAATGAGCGTGGGTTCCTTAGTTCAGCTAAAGCTTGAACTGCCCATAGCCAGCTGTTCAATCCTGACCGGCTCATGTTTGACTCAGCCTTCCATCCTTCTGAGATCAGTAAAATGAGAACCCTGATGGTTGGGGGCAATATGCTGACAGTGTAAATGACTCCCAGAGTGTGTTAAGGCTCAATGGAGTGGTATATAATTCTAACCGCTATTGTTATTGCTATTGCTAAAGGTTACATGTTAAAGGTTAGAAGGTAGTCTAAGACTTTATCAGTATCACCAATAGTGTTCCTCCTTACTAAAAACCTTCCTATGCAATTTGGTATCCTGGTCCTGCCTATCACCTTTATGGTCAGGGATTCCTGAGCAAGAAATAGATGGTCTGCTCAAATTGGCGCTATTTCTGTTTAGCAATAGCAAGCACTTAGCACTTAGAGTTATATACCACTTCATAGTGCTTTTAGAGCCCTCTCTAAGTGGTTTACAGAATCAGCATATTGCCCCCAACAATCTGGGTCCTCGTTTTACCAACTTTGAAAGGATGGAAGGATGAGTCAAGCTTGAGTCTGTCATAATCAAATTCCTGGTAGTGACCTGAGTTAATTTGCAATACTGCATTCTAACCACTGCCCCACCAAGGCTCATAAACTGCTTTAATAAAACAGTTTGAGCAATGGCTAACCACATCAATAGATTCAAAGCATTATCTTCAAAAGCTGTTCCTGTGTACTAAATAATAATGTGTTAATCAATAAGTAATACTAGAAGATAGGAAGATTCAATCTTCTTTCACGTTTCCTTGCTGATGGGATATATTCTGGAGAGTTGATTATTATCCCCTTTATGCATGCTTTTATATCTACAGGTGAACGCATATGTGTGGGAGAACAGCTGGCAAGAATTGAGATCTTCATCTTTCTGACCAATCTGTTGAGGGCCTTCAGCTTCCGATTGCCTGAAGGAGTGAAAGAACTCATTGAAACCCCTATTGTAAAGGTGTCAATGAAACCACATCCTTACAAACTGTGTGCTATTCCCACAACGGCTTAAAATTAAACCCCATAAAAAGCATTAAATTATTACAGAATAGGTATTCAGTATGACGAATGTTTTCTCTGTACCTATTCACTTAACATTGTGCTTTGCTTCTATTTACTCAATACTGAAACTTCTTTAACCTATTGCTGGGGTCACACAACATACCTAACAAGGTCAACCAATGATTATATTTGAAAAATGTTCTAACTAATCTTATCATGCTTTATCTTTGTTTCCTTTTGAATGCCAATAAAACATATTACTTTTCATTTATTTTTCGTATCTTTTTCATTTTTACTAAATTTCTGCTACGGACCATGTTCCCCACTCAGGGAAAAATTCATAGATAGACCAAAAGGATGCCATGCTTGAAGGGCTGAAACGATGCTGAGAGAACTAACAGGAGAAGAAAGTGTGTGGCTCCCATCCACACCCCAAGGCAGAACATCCACTGAAGCAACCAATCCATCTTTCATCCCACACTTAGAGCTAAACTTAGACTGGATCTAATTCTATGCTTCATCTGAAGCCCTCTACAGCCTAATCACTTTCTCTACAACCTTCCCCTAATATGTTTGACAGTACAGGTAGTCCTCTACCTACAACAGTTCATTTAGTGACCTTTCAAAGTTACAACAGCCCTGAAAAATGGCCTATGACCACTTTTCACAGTGATGACTTTGCAGCATCCCCATGATCATGTGATCAAAATTCAGATGCTTGGCAAATGGATCATATTTATGACCATTGCTGTGTCCCAAAATCATGTGATCACCATTTGCGACCTTTGATAAGTAAAATCAATGGGGAAGCCAAATTCGCTTACATCCTGATCACTAAGTTATCAACTGCAGTGATTCACTTAACAACTGAGGCAAGAAAAGTCATAAAATGGGGCAAAACTCACTTAACCAATGTCTCATTTAATGAGAGAAACTTTGGGATCAATTGTGGTCATAAATTGAGGACTACCTGTATTGCTCCAGTTCTTCCAGTTTCTGGCAATTCCTCTCCCAGAATTCTTATTCAAAATCTTCCTCTGAATCAATGCAAAGAAAGAGGCCCCTTGGGGTTAATCCTGCCTGGTCCCTTTGTTATCCACGTATTCTGGAGACTGAGTAGATTGCAAGTAGAAGGACCTGCCAGGCTTGTGGGACATTTCCTCAAGTGCCTCTTGGAAACCAGTTGGATGTGAATGATGCAATCGAAACAGGGAGCTCGATCCTAGAAGGGAGCTTCCTGGAATATGGAAAGTGATCTCACCACAAGTGACGGGAATGTCCTAGATCTTCAGATCGCATGTTAGCTAAGAAACAAACCAGAGCAAGGGTGTATTGCTCTCAGTGTGAGTTAGTATCATGATAACTTCTTGGTTTTGTCTTGGTGGCCATGAATTTCTGAGCCACTCAGATCCTGCACTGATGGCCTAGAGATTGTCATTTTGGAGTATAATAAGCCTGGATGAATTTACCAACATCAGGGCAATGGGGTCATGAATCACAGCATTGGTGTAGGGGAACTTTCTCTGATCCTGATAGGAAATTGTCCCTGAGAAGCCAAACACGTCTTCAATCTCTTTCTGGACTTTGTTTAGAAAAAATGATTCAACATTCAACCAATGTTCTTCAGAGGATCTGGCCTTCTCCTTCAAGTTATTGCCAGCTTCTGGGCTCCAGTTGCAGATTTGTAGCCCCAGTCAGACTTCCAATGCCAGTTGCCAGCTCATTGAACTTTATGCCACTACTTGCACCAAACCACCTTACAGAGGGCCCCAAATCCATCTCTGATCTCTGAGCACTGCACTGCTCCCTCTTGCCTCTGATCTCTGATCTGGGCCTTGTATTCACTGTCAAGGCCCCTGTTGACTCTCTGGGCCAGTTCCTGCTTCCAGTCTCCTCCAGTTTGTCATCCTTCTATGCTGCAGCTCTGACATCAAGTTGGCTCTTCACTATGGCTCAACCAGTCTTTTATCCTCAGCACACACTCTTCGCTGTGTCCTCCCATGCCTGCAACCCTTTCAGACTGGCACTGGATTAGAATCAGGCTCAGCTCTTCACCTTCTACCAGGCCCTCATTGTGCTGCCCCACTCATGCACACATGCTCACAATGGAAAGTTCAAAGTTTTGTATTCAAAACCCTCAACAGTTTCAGTAGTAAACTAAATGACGAGCTGGCCAGGTTACAAACCCCACAGGAGATGAACTCTTGACAAGATTCAATCCAAGAAATGCCAGACAAAGTCCAAAGCCAGTCCTAAATCAGTACACAGAGCCAGAGGTCAAGAAACTGGACATATTGTTCCAACAATACCCATTACTTTGATTCAGTCCCAGAAACACCAAAATCCAAAGCCAGTCCTCAATCAATACACAGCTGCATTAAGCTCAGGTCAAAGGCCTGGGGAGTGAGAAGGCATTACAACAACTGTACTCACAGCTTATCCTCCTGGGCAGCCACATCAATGACTCGTTGACAGCTTCTTTGGCCTTTAGATCAGATTGAACTGGGATTTGGATGGAGAATCCACATTGTGAAGACATTTGAAAATTGGTTAGCCCAATTGCAAGGTCGCATGCTCAGGTAATCTATCTGGGTCCATAGATCGGACTTTCAGCCACAGTATGTTTTGCATATTTTCTAGTTGAATATTTTAATTACTGGATGGCTTTATATAAGCGGTAGATCCAACTAGATCTGTATTGCTGGAAGTGGTGTAGAGTAATCCACCCCGAGAATACATTTGAGAAAAGTAGAGTGCATCATTTCCACTACAGGGGCAGTTATATAGTCCTACAAATCGGCGCCATTTGTGATCATTGGGATGATTTTGCTGTTATGTACAATATCTGTATGAAATAAAGGTGTACATTCCCTATCCAAGTTCCAACTATACATACTCCGCCTCTCCTCAAAACAATTACTTTAGGTTTGAATTTATTGACCTTCAGGTCACTGAGTGCACAATATGAATTATCCCTACCTGGATACATGATATTAATACTAACTGATCTGCATAGAGCACAATGTTTACATGTTTAATTCTGGGGATATGCATATTGGTTAAATGGAGGGACCTTGGGATTTTATTCATTTAGCTAGTCCATTGCCGAGCACAATAGTTTTTAAGTAAATTTTGCCCCAGTTTATGATCTTTCTAGACATTGTTGTTAAATGAATCAGTGCAGTTGTTAAATTAGTTACACAATTGTTAAGTAAATCTGGCTTCCCTATTGATTTTGCTTATCAGAAGGTTGCAAAAGATGATCACATGATCCACAAATAGTTGTCAGTTGGCAAGTGTACAAATTTTGATCATACAAGAATGAGGTTGCTGTAATGATTGTAAGTGTGGAAACAGCCATTAAGTCTTTTTTTTTAATTGCCATTGTAACTTTCAATAGTTACTAAATGAATGGCTGTCAGTCAAGGACTACCTGTTGTGGGTAAAACTGCACGTGCAGCAAACTGCCATGCTTTCCCCCCCACAAACCTCATAACCTTTTGATACCCTTTCTCCTAATGAAGCAGCCAGAAGGTCATCCCCTTTTGACTTGATATCTTACTTACCTAAATAAATAATATGTTTAAGTCCCCTCTTATCTCTTCCTGTCTTTCATCTCCGTGTATTGGTTTTTACCTGGTCTCTGAACAGGTAATATGTTACTAGAAAATAGTTGCTTATATGAAGGAATTTTCCAATAAAGAAACTTTATGTCAGCATCTAATAGTTAAACTTATGAATGTAAAAGGTCAGCATTTAATGGTAAAAGTTGGCGAACCCCAGAAAGCTTTCTAACTGTCTTCGTGTGGTGGGCGCCTTCCAGTCCAGAACTGCTTGAACTTTAAGTGGGTCCATCTCCGCTCCCGCTGCTGATATACGATATCCAAGGTAGTCTAACTGGTCACGGTGAAACTCACACTTGGATAGTTCTACATATAACTTTGCCGCAAGTAGCTTTTGCAATACCTGTCGTACCAGGCTAATGTGTTCTTCCAGGGTTGTAGAATAAGAATATCGTCGAGATATACAAGGACCCCTCGATATAGGTGTTCGTGCAGTACCTGGTTGATCAACTATATGAACACTGCGGGGGCCCCCTATAGCCCGAACGGCATGACCCAGTGTTGAAAACTACCTAACGGGCAGTTGTACGCTGTCTTCCACTCATCTCCACTTTGTATTCGTACTCGATAGTACGCCTCCCGAAGGTCCAATTTGGTAAATATCCGCCCTTTCCCTAATTGGGCTAGTAGGTCTTTCATGAGCGGGAGTGGGTACTGATGTGCAACACACACAGCGTTAAGACCTCGGAAGTCAATGCAGAGACGAAGCGATCCATCCTTTTTCTCCCGGAACAAGACAGGTGCAGCAACTCGGGAACGGGCCGGTTGGATGAACCCTCTTTCCAGGTTTAAATCAATGAATCGCCGTAACTCCTCCAATTCCCTGGGCGCCATGGCATACATCCGAGGCTTTGGCAGCTTAGCCCCCTGTTCAATTTCGATGGCACAGTCCGTCGGCCAATGAGGGGGTAGCTGGTTGCACTCTTCCTCGCTGAATAACTCAGCCAGATCCTGATATTCCACAGGGAAAGGGTCCTTCCCCCCCCTACAACCCCATACACCGGGGCTTGGTTGGTAGGGCCTGGGGCCAGGGACTGACCTTTTGGCTGCTGTTCAGGGGGTTGGGGCCCAACACCAAGGCATACCTTGCGGTACCCACCCTCCCACCAAATGGTGGGCTCCCATTTATCCAGCCATGCCAGGCCGAGGATCACGGCCTCACTCATAGCCGGGGCCACTATAAACCGGAGGGTTTCCCAATGGGCCCCAAGCTCCAAACAGATTGGTTCCGTGATATGGATAGCTGGAGCCCCGCCTAACAGGGAACCGTCTACCTGCTCAAAGCGCACAGGCTGGGCCAGTTTATGTAACCAGATTCCATGCTCCAGACCCAACGCCCGGCTTATCAAACACCAGATGCATCCTGTGTCTATTAATGCCCGGCACTCCCATCGTGCCCCAGTCTGTGGACTCGTTAACACTATGGGCAAGATGAAAGGTGCTATGGGTTCACTTAACATTGGATCGTTTTGCCGCTTTTGACGCTTCGGGGCTTTTTTGTGTGTGTGTCGGAGCAGGTCCTCTTGGTGTTCCGGATCCCAATGGAGTAGGAGCTGGGCACTCAGCCGCCCGAGGCCCCGGCTGATTACACCAGAAACAATGGAAGGACGTGCCACTGGGTGGACCAACCGCCTTAGGG